ACTAACGTCATCATTTTAGTTTGGTCTCATTTTGTGGTCGTTGACATACATCGCCTACTGGTTCTCAGGTTTCGCTCTTGTCGTCCTAGGTACGAGTTTATTTTTTGTCTTGAGGCACAAGATAGTGGCAAAATAAAAAAAGAAAGCCCGTGTTTAGGTGTTCTTGCTGTATTCTCGGTCCCAAAGATTTACGAAATGTACCAAGAGCCCATCGATGCGAAGCTGGCCATGATGTCGGAGCAGATCGAGAAAGCGGCTAAAATGTGAGTGTACTCTTCACTGCTTGTTCTTTTGCCCTATAAAGGATGGTTTCAGGGCTGAAGAGAAAATGCCGTTCTTGAAGAAAGCCCAGACCGAGGTTCAGAAGAAGGAACAGTAAGTCCTGAGAGAGCTAGCGCTTGGCCGAAAGTCCGTCGTTTCGCTCACCTCACTCTGTATGCATCTGCGCCTTCTTTCATCGCCCAATCGTCCATCTGAAGTTCGTCACCGACCTTCTTATTTGTTTTTATATATATTAACTGTGGCAATTCTCTGCACTAATGCGCGCACATGTTCGCTTCTGTTCTGCTAACTGCGCCGAGCTTGTCCCTGCGTCATCTTCCCCCCCAAATGGGTGATGAAGTCAATGACCGTGTCCCACTCAGCCCTTGTGAGGAACCGTCAGGCTTCTTAGCGTGTCTTGCTTCTGTATTTTGATCGCATTAGTATGTGTTCTGTCTGATTTTAGTTTTTTTTTTGCTGCAAGTTACGTGGATTTCCTGGAGTAGTATTTCTTCATGCGTTCGCTTAGATCTGCTACTCTATTCTCTTCATTTTTAATGTAGTAAATAATGCGTGACTTTTGCATATTTTACTCAAATAAACATTTTAACGAATTCCGGTTTTTTGTTCCTTTCTAGCTTTAAAACATTACTTGGTTCATTTGATAGTAGAAATGCCAAGTACAAACATGGTATCTTTATACTGAAGGAAGGGCAAGTTTCAAATGATGGTGTCAATAACTCATTCATGCAATCGCAAATATAAACACAGTAAACATTCAATCATACCGTGTGTTCATCATGAATCTTGAAATCACCGAGCCTTTTCCACGGAACGTCAATGCTCCTTTCGGTCTCTAGAAATTTCCGTGATTGTGTTGTTTGGAATAATAGCCAAGCGCTTTTGCAACAATACTCAAAATTGAGCAATGTCTGAAAATGGAGATCAGAGAAGGATGACTACTCAAGGCGAATTTCAATGTTGCAGTCTAGTCAGTAGGAAGTATTGGAGGTATACTAGAAGCATTGACTGCACAAGTTACAGGATCGCT